TACCATGGACTGCCAAAATCTGTTGGAACTATATAGCCAGAATGCTCCTTAGAAGCCATTTTGGAGAGATGTCCTCTCTCATACTTTGGACATGTTTGCAGGAAGGACCACTTCCAAGATGTTATCTTGGTAAAATGGAGGGTCAGCGGGGGGAAAAAAAAAGTTGGGTACAAACATGAAGGATCAGTAGTTGGAAAATATATCCAATAATAGAATGATGGTGGAAATCGCTTGATAAAATTTGGAAAACCAATAACTTATTCATTGAAATTCTAGTCAACATTTTTGTTTTGCTTTCTTGTTCTCCTGGTGTGACACTATAGGATCAGCACTGGACTTCAAACCACTGAGTCAGCAGTTCAAACCCAGCAGCTCCTTTGAAACCATATGCAGGGTCACTATGAGTTGGAACAAGCTTAATGGCACTTAACAAGGACATGGGCAAAATACTGAATGAAGCAGAAAGCATCAAAAGAAAAAAGAAGGGATATAGTCAATGTATCAAAAAGAATTGGCCGGTTTCAATTATTTCAAGAGATTCCACATGGTCAAGAGCCAATTAAAGGAAGAAGTCCAAGTTGTACTGAAGGTACTGGCAAAAAACAAGGAGATGAAGAATGGTTTAGAATCAGGAATAGGGTATGCAAAGGCTGTAATCTTTCATCATACCTATTAAATCTGTATGCTGAGCAAATAATCTGAGAAGATGGATTATAGGAAGAACATGGCTTCAGAATTGGAGGAAAACTGATTAATATCCTGTAAGGAGCTCTGGTAGCGTAGTGGTTACGAATTGGGCTGTGAACCTTAAGGTCAGCGGTTCGAAACTACCAGCCGCTCCGCGGGAGAAAGATGAGGCTTTCTACTCCCGTAAAGATTTACACCCTCGGAAATCCTGTACAGGGTCGCTATGGGTCGGAACCGACTTGACGGCACTTAACAACAACAACAACAATATACAGATGACACAATCTTGCTTGCTGGACACAAAGACTTGAAATATTTACTCATGAAAATCAAAGAAGTTGCACCTCAATATAAAGAAAAAAAAAATCCTAGCAACTGGATCATCTTAATAAACAAGACAAAAGATTGAAGTTGTTAAAGACTTCATTTTGCTTGGATCCATAATCAACACCCATGACAGCTGCAGTTAAGCAACCTAATGATGCATTGCACTACACAAATCTGCTGCACAAGCCCTCTGTTAAAATGTTAAGAGAGCAAAAATGTCACTTTGAGGACTAAGGTTCACTTGAATGAAGCCATGACATTTTCAATTACCTCATATGCATGTTAAGAGTTAGACAAAGATCGTAGAAGAATCAATACATTTGAATTATGGTGTTGGAGAAGAATAATTAAAGTACCATGGACTGTCAGCAAAACAACAAAGAAATCCTTAGACGTGAGGATGGTGAAACTTTGTCTCTCTTTGGACATGTTATAAGAAGGGATCAGTCCCTGGAGCAGGACATCATGCTTGGAGGAACAGCAAAAAACAAGACTACCTCCAACAAGATGGCCTGACACTGTAGCTGCAACAATGGGCTCCAGCACAACAACCATTTTGCTTTGTTGTTGCTATGAGTCAGAACCGACTCAACTGCACCTACTCACAAAAATAAGGAGAACACTACTAGTGAGATATGCACACCATAGAATGGTCAACCACTTGAGATCTAGGGGCAGCATTTACACAAGGACTAGTTCAGAAGCCTTGAGAAAGGAGTTAGGAACTGAACAAAGTAACAGAAATAGAAGTGATAATAAGAAATGTTACACTGACAGGACAGCAATTAATAAGATGAAACTAACTGTGTATGATCTGTTGAATGCTGAACTGATGATCTGAACTGTAAACCTTTACCAATTCACAATTAAAGCTTTTAAAATTAATTAATTAAAAAAATAGTACATGTAATTGGAAGCAAATCAGATCACAAAATGGAGGATGACTACATCATTACATAACTGACAAACTGAAAATCTCGGCCCAAACTAGTTGACATATAACTGTAATTATCACAGCCAATGTTATTCTTACATAACTTGGCATTCTTTATGTCAGATGTATGTTAATACACACAGTAGTTAAATAACACATTTTTAACTAATGTAAATGTACATATAATATGGGATAAATCAGTTTTGTGGCATACCACAGTCTATGTATTCTGAAAGGAGCGTATGTATGGGTGGTATACTTAATTCATACTACCCTGACACATGGTCTGAAGGGGACAAGTTTTAAAGCTATACAATATATCTCCTTATCCAACAGGTCTGCATGACTATCATTTTAACTGCTAAATTGATATTGAAAATATAAGAGCAATCTGAAGCTAAAAGTTGAGATAAGACTCATTACAACAAAACTGGAGACCGAAATATCTGCCCTGTAATTTCATTCAGAAATACCAAACATATATATTAAGTCTAAATCATAATTTCTCATAACCATAGATATAGTACCTTTCCTAATTATAAAATTGTCATTATCTTAATGAATTTCCCACCAAGAACAAGTTATGCTAAAGGAATCTCAATTCTTGCTGCTTTAGGAGATAGCTGATGAACTCTTCTGTGAGATACTTAAGAATACAATGGCGAGGAGCAGGGTATATGGTGGTGATAGCAGTTATGTGTGGTGGAGTTGGTTCTGACTCACAGTAACCCAGTATAGGGTTTCCGAGGTTGTACATCTCTACAGGAGCAGAAAGCCGCATCTTTCTCCTGCAGAACAGCTGGTAGTTTCTAACTGCTGACCTTGAGGTTAGTAGTCTGACTTGTAATCACTATGCTTTCAGAGTTCCTTGCAGGGTAGACAGATGATATGATACAGTGGCTAAAAAGCATTTGGCAAGTTTGGAGTCCTGCACTTAGGAACATTCTCAAAACTCAACCTCAAAATACTAAAAATCAACTTGAATCCTGAGGTCTAGTCCAGCTGTCCAATAAAAATAAGCTAGCCACAAATATAAAGTTTTCTAGCAGCCATCTAGGAGCTCTGGTAGCGTAGTGGTTACGAATCGGGCTGCGAACCTTAAGGTCAGCAGTTTGAAACTACCAGCCGCTCCGCGGGAGAAAGATGAGGCTTTCTACTCCCGTAAAGATTTACACCCTCGGAAACCCTGTACAGGGTCGCTATGGGTCGGAACCGACTCGACGGCACTTAACAACAGCAGCCATCTAGGAGTCCTGGTGAGACACTGCAGGATAAGAATTGGACCTGCAGTCTTGTCGTTTCCCACCCCTGCTATACAGGGTTCCATGAGTCAGAACCGACTGATAGCACTAAACAAGTGGTGGTGGTTATGTGTGTGGAGTCGGTTCCGACTCATAGCAACCCTGTTACAGGGTTTCTGAGGCTGTAAATCTTTACAGAATCAGAAAGCCTCACCTTTCTCCCATGGAACGGCTGGTAGTTTCGAACTGCTGACCCTGAGGTTAGCAGGCTGATTTGTAACCACTACGCTACCAGAGCTCCTTAGCCATATTAAAATGTAAAAGAAACAGCTGAAGTTAGTTTTAATATATTTAATTTAATATATCAAAGGAGCCCTGATATGGTGCTATAGGATTAGTACTGGGCTGCTAACGGAAAGGTCGGCAGTTCAAACCCACCAGCCACTCCTCAGAAACACTATACAGGGTTGCTGTGAGTTGGAACCGGCATGAGGGTACTTAGAAATGTTATTTCAATGTGTAGTATAAATATTGGTGTCCTGGTGTGGTACTGTAGGATAAGCATTGGACTGCCAGCCACAAGGTCAGTGGTGCAAACCCATCAGCCTCTCCTCAGAAACCTTATACAGGGTGGTTATGAGTGGGAACTAACTTGAAAACACTTAACAATATGAAAATTGAAAATATTTAAAAGCTTTCCCTTTTTCAGACTCAATCTTTGAAATCTCGTGTGTATTTTACATTTACTGCTTTTAAGTGCCACCGAGTTGGCTGGACTAGTTGGCTAACCTGTATAGGGTTTTCACGGAGAAATTGTTGGGTCAGAAAAAATGACCTTGTGGTTATCAGTTCTGTGCTTACCCACACCAAGACTCCTTTACACTTGCGTCTTGTTCAGTGCTGTTGCAGCGCCACGTCGGGACTTCTGATTACACATCTCAATTTGGCTAGTCACATTTCAAGTGCTCAATTTCAATAACTGTGGCTGCCGTTGTAAGCAGCACAGATCTAGACAAATCAGATCTTCTTAGGTGCAGAGATGTGGCAGGTTCAATTCTCAAAGAGGAAGTAAACACTTCCCCAAATGACCCTCATACACACTTTATCTTAAGACTGTAAATTAATTTTCAAACAAGATCCCTTTTCAAAAGGTCAACGTTTTAAAAAGCCTTCTTCCAGGAAAGGAAGGCCATTTCTGTAAAGTGAGCTGTCACGTCAAAAAATACGTCCAACTGATGGCTACCACATTGGTCACCCTCTTTACAAGTCAAGAATTCTAGACTAACGTTAAACAAGGAGCTCTGGTGTGGGGCTCTGGGTTAATACGGTTTGAGCCACAAGGTCGGCGGTTCAAGTTCACCAGCTGCTCCTTAGAAACCCTATATAGGGTCACTATGGGCCGAAACCCACTCGATGGCACTTAACAACAATCCTTAAACCAAGGACGGTACTACACCTTCCTCTGACATTTGTCCTTGGGTTAAACCTAACAGCGGCTCGGGTCAGTGTCCACGCTCCTGTCCCTTCTGACACGTTACAGGCTGCCGCACTGACTCCTGCCCACTAGTTTAGCAATGCACTCTCAGCCCACTGGACTCTCCCAGAAAAGGCTGCCAGAGGCGGGCTCTGGATTCCGCTGGGTGAGGCCTGAGGATCAGTGCCCGCTTCCCGCCAGTGGCCCCCGTGACCCTGGTTTTCGAACTCTAGTCTAAAGCAGGGCGATAGTTGCTTCCCGAGGCTGTGTCCGGGAAGGAGCGGCCCCTCACCGCTCCCCCGCCCATCAGAAGCACCCAGCCCGCGCTGGCCCCTACCTGGCACTGCACGGTCCCCCAGTTTCCCCTCGGGGTCCCTGCGCGCCCCGCCCCGTCGTCGCCTCCGCCCCTCTGGGGCAGGGCACCCCGGGGCTCCTCCCCCGGCCCGTTGGGCCGCACGGGCAGCTCGCCGGTCTGCAGGCTGCGGGCCTCCTCATCAACTGGGCCGCCGGGAGTACTGCTGTCCCCGTCATCACGGCGTTTGCTGGGCGAAGCCATAGGCTCGGTCATGGACCCTGCGCCGACTTTGCGCTTTCGGGACAGTTCTGGCACACCGAGAAGAGGCCCCGGATGTGCGGTCTCCTGTGGCGGGGTCCAGAGCGGCGGCTCCTCGGTGAACCCAGAGAGCAGGAGCCGCTTCCAAGGCACGTGGAACGTCAGCGGCTCTGCCGCACGCCGCTTGGCCATGGGCCCCAGAGGCTCGGGTGGAGCCGGCCCAGCGCGGGAAGCCGAGAACGGATAGCTGGGGGGCAGAGGTCGCAGGCACAGCGCGCGACGAAAGACGAAAACGCTGTCTGGGCGAGGTGATGGCAGGAAAGTGGAAAGGGTCGGAGTGGGTGGTGTGGCAGGCACGCGCTCCTCCAGCCGCCGCCAAGTTACGACCCGGACGTTGGGGAGCAACCGCGAAGCGGCGGAGATTCGAACCAGCTTACAAATGTGCGCGCGCGCACTCGCGCAGGCCCAGCGGAGCTGCTGGTTGGTGGAGGATCTCGAGGCGCGTTCCCGAGCGTCCTTGAGACCGGAAGTGCGCTCCCCGGGGGAGGTGGGAAGGCTATGGCGGGTTTATTAAAGGCCCAGTGATGGCCACAGAGGGGGCGTAACCTTGCTTCTGGAGGGGCGCTAAGAGTTACATTTCACTTGAGCAAATGTCAGGCTAGGTCAAGCGCAGTACATTCTTCTGTCGGAAATTTAAGGTTTTTTAAATGTCTGTTTTCCCTGCCCCATTCAGTTGCTGCTGGGACTTATCCGTGATATAAAGACACATGATCCCACAAATTGTTCTAAAGTGTTGTCCTGAAGTGCTGTCCATTCGGTTCCGATTCATAGCAACCCTGTATAGGGTTTCCGAGGGGCGGCTGGTGAGCTAGACCTGCCAGCCTTGCGGTTCAAACCAGCTTTGCATTCCAGCTCATTAACCCACAGTGCCACACCAGAACTCCTCACCAGTGTTGGTGTTCTCTAAAACAAACCAGAACCCCCAAATCCATTGTAGAGAAGTGGAGTGACCCTTTAGGACAAAAGAACTGCCCTAAACGGTTTTCAAGGCTATGAATCTTTACAGAAACAGACTACCCCATCTTAAGCACTTTACCACTGCTCCACCAAAACTATATTAATAGTTTTTATTTTTAAAACAACTGGGAGCCCAGGTGTGGCGCTGTAGGCTAAGCACTAGACTGCAAGGTCGTTTTGAACTTCAAGTTGGCGGTTCAAACTCACCAACCACTCCTTGGAAACCCTATACAGGGTCAATATGTGTTGGAACCGACTCGACAGCACTTTACAACAACAATTTAAGTCGCAACTGACTCAAGGGCACTTAAAAACAATTCAGAACAAATAGCTGAAGGAAGTTCCTGGTTAAAGGAACTGATGAAGAAACAGCAGTAACTGACTTGCCAAACTTCAAGTTTGAGATGGTGCCTGTAGAAAGTGAAGCAGCCACTAAATTCCTCAAAAATTTCTCTTGATTTCAGGTTCACGTTAACAACAGTGAAGTTGCAGACATGTGCAGCTCATTCAGAATGACTGGGTGGATGGCAAGAGCAAACACTGAGGCAATAGCTGTTGTCTTTTCCAACCAAAACCCATACTTACTTGCTTCCTAAATTATGTACCCAGCTTAATCTGCTGTGGTCAGAACTAAGACTCCAAATGCTTCATTACATAATAGGAAAGTGGTGTGTATATATGGCAATATGAGGTGGAGACAACAGCAGTATGTTACTGGTTTTTATTATAGCTTATATTTTGGACAAAGACAATAACCAAGTAAATGAAAATGTAAGGAAGCAAACAAAGACTGTTCTTTTTAGTACTTTGGAGAGAGAAACCACAATAATATTCCAGAGAAAATAAGTGCAAGGAAATTTATTCTATTCTAGCTTGTTGCTGTTAAGTGCCATCGAGTTGGTTCTGACACATAGCGACCCTGAACAGGGTTTCCAAGCCTGTAAATCTTTATGGGAGCAGAAAACCTCACCGTTCTTCCACAGAGCAGCTGGTAGTTTCAAACTGCTGACCTTGCGGTTCGCAGCCCTATTCGTAACCACTACACTACCAGAGTTCCTTTATTCTAGCTAGTCACTAAAAAACCAAGTCCAGTGCCATGAAGTAGAATTTGACTCACAGTAGGATGGAGTAGAACTGCTCCATAAGGATTCCAAATCTTTACGGAAGCAAGTGGGCCACATCTTTTCTTAAAATAGCTCTAGCTGGCAGGTTGTTGTTGGCAAACACCCTTGAGTCAATTCCAACTCATAACTACTGGCTGGTGGGTTTGAACTGTCAACCTCATGGCTAGCAGAACAGTGCTTATTCTACAGGGCCATACCAGGATTCCTAGCAGGTAGATAACTACCTAAATATTAATTATCCACCCAAGTTTTACATCTCAAAATTGTTGTGAGAAATAATTATCCACCCAAGTTTTACATCTCAAAATTGTTGTGAGAAAATAGGGCAATTATTTGCTTTTATAGAGTTATAGATTAGCAAGAACAAAAACATAACAAGTTAGGATATTAAACCATTTCTCCATTCTCTCTTTGTTGAAATAATAGCTATCTAAATCTCAAATAGATGCAGTTTGTCATTTCCAAGCCAGTGACACATCACAAATGAAAGAACTTAATCTTCAAATGATATTTTAAAGGTTTTGGGGTTCCTACCCCAAATGATAATTGTGTACTTTAGTAATATAGGTTGATTCCTTTGATTTCTTTTTCATAGACCACCTTTCTTTCCAAATTGTGAACTTTAACATGAGGGTGAGTCAAAATAATCCGCACTCTAGTTGTGGTGTGGCACTGTGGGTTAATGTGTCAGACTGCAAAGCCGTTTGAACTGCAAGACTGGCAGTTCAAGCTCACCAGCTGCTCCTCGGAAGCTCTATGCAGGGTCATCGCTATGTGTCGGAATTGACTCCACGGCACTTAACAAGAACAACAGTTATATTAAAACACCCATCCACGTTCACAGTTGATGACAACATTGAGTGTGCACATGATATGAGTCTGTCGAATAGATGAGTGACAGTGGATTATGTGGCAAACCATTTGCAAATCAGCCATGGCTCTGCCTATGAAATCTATGACAGACGGGTTTTGAAAAGTTTGTGTGAGATGAGTACAGAAAAACATAAACAGAAACGTTTGAACTGATACTTAAAGGAAGGTGTAAGTTTCTTTAAAAAAACAACAACAAAAACACTGTTACTGGTAAGGAGACATGGATTCATTACTACAAGCCTGAGAGTAAACAGCAGATTATGGAATAGAAACATCCTTAATTGCCAACCAAGACAAAGGTCAAAAGTCAACCATGAACTGAAAAATTAATGCCTACAGTTTTCTGGGATTCTCAAGGGCCAGTATTGGAACACTATCAGGAAAAGATTCAACAGTCAACAGTGCTCGTTACAGTGAGATACTCACTGAAGAGCTGAAGCCTAAATTTTGGATTTAAACACAGAGGACTGCTATCCAAGGACGTTATGATCTTGCAAGACAATGTATGTCTACCTACCTCCATCCACACTGTTGACACTCTGCAAAAACTTTGTTTTCAGGTGTTAAAGCATCCTGATCTTGCTTCATTGGAATTACGAGTTTGGTGCCCTCAAAGGAGCCATTAGAGGACGAAAATTCACCTCTGATGGAAAAGTGAAGACAGCAGTGCATTCATGGCTTGTAATTCAGTCCAATACATTCTTAAATAAGGGACTATGAAAGCTTGTTGACAGATGGACAAAGTGTACTGAAAAGCAAGGAGATTTTGTAGAAAACTGAGCTATTTGTCTTTCCTACTTGATTAAAATAAATTCTACTGCAAGAGTGAGGCTAGATTTGACTCACCTTTATATATATATATATATATATATATATATATATATATATATATATAAAGGCTGCATAAAAATATATGTAGTTAAAAGAATCTTAGTAAGACACCCAAGACCTAGTTTCAGAAATAGAATGTTACCAGTACCAGAACTTGACTAGCAGTGTGCCTTTCTCCCTGATATCTTCTCCTTTCCCTTGATTGTAGATAATTGTTTGAGTCCTGGTGTGGTGACCAAAATAAGCACTGGACTTCTAACCAACCCCAAGGCTGGTGGTTGAAACCCACCAGCTGCTCCTTAGAAACCCTATACAGGATAGCTATGAGTTGGAACCTACTCAACGACACTTAGTAACAATAGATAATTGCTCTTTTGAATTTTCAGTTCATTATTCATTTGCTTTTCTTTATAGTTTTTCTGTGTATGTATTCCTAAATGATGTAACATTTTGTCCCCCCCTCCTTTTTTTTAACAGCTTTATTGAGGTCACACTGGGATAAAGTACTTGACTGCAGTGTTGGTTTGAACTGCAACGTCAGCAGTTCAAACTCACCAGCCACTCCTTGGAAACTCTATATGGGGTCCGTATGAGTCGGAACTGACTCCACGGCACTTTAAGAACAACAAAACTGACATACTTTATTTTGTCAATTTTAGACGTCAATAAGGCTGTTGTTTTTTTTAAAGGCAAAGCTAAAAAATTATGTGGTGCTGTGGGATAAGCACTGGACTAAGGTCAGTTTGGACTGCAAGGTTGGTGGTTCAAACCCACCAGCTTCTTCTCAGAAACCCTATATAGGATTGCTATGAGTCTGAACTGACTTGATTGCACTTATCAACAAAATTGACATAAAATATATCAGAAGCTTCAAAAAGTTCATGGAAAAACTCCATTATCTTTTCATTCCATTTGTCCAGAATTTTTCGAAGCCCCCTATTTAAAGTGTATATCATAAGTTTTGACATATTTATGTATGCACCTATGAAACAAAGTAAGACACTTAATACACATAACCATTATCCCCAGAAGTTTCCTCGTGGCTTTTTGTAATTCCAGAATCCAGCTTCTCCCTCTTAGGTAACTACTATTTTATTTTCTGTTACTATAATTTACATAATTTCCTAGAGTTTTTTGGAGCCCTGTCTGAAATTCATCCATGTTATGTTTATTCCTTTTTATTGCCAAAAAATATTCCAGTGTGTGCACTACCATTGAGTTGGTTCGACTCAGCACGACCCTAGAGGGCTGAGTAGAACTGTTCTAGGGTTTCTGAGACTAAATCTTTAAAGGAGTAGACAGTCTCATCTTTCTCCCTTGTATGTGCCTATACTTGAATTTATTTAC